CTTGGGCTTCCTCACAAAATGGCGGCCTCAGAGAATTCAGATTTTTTATACTTGGCAGCTCAGAGTCCCGAAAGTGAGAGACTGAGTGTACAAGGTGGAACCTTCATGGCCTTAAAAAAAAATAACAACTTTATTGAGATATAATTCATATACCATAAAATTCACCCTTTGAAAGTATACAATTTCAGTAGTGCAACCAGCACCGTTATCTAATTTCAGAACATCTTCATCACTCAAAAAGAAACCCGTACTCATTACCAGTCACTCTCTATTCCTCTCTCCTCCAGCCCCTGGCAACCAATGGTCTATTTTCTGCCTCTGCAGTTTTGCCTATTCTGGACATTTCATATAGATGCAGTCGTACAATATGTGGGCTTTTGTCACTGGCTGCTTTCATTAGTATAATGTTTTCAAGGTTCAAACATGTTGTAGCGTGTATCAATACTTCATTCCCTTTTATTGCCAAATAACATTCCATTGTAGGAAAGGTGCCTGATTTTTTTTTCAATTGTGATAAAATGACATAAAATTTACCATCCTAAGCATTTTTAAGCACACCATTCAGTAGAGTTAAGTACGTTCACATTGTTGTGCAACAAATCTCCAGGACTCTTTTCATCTTGCAAAACTGTATTTTCTGACCCAGCCTCAGAAGCTATGTAGCATCACTTCTGCTGTATTCTACTGATTGTGAGTCACTAAGGTTGGTTCAGAGAGAACAAAAACTCTATCTCTCAATGGGAAGAATGCCAAAGAATTCGTGGTTTTAAGACCACCATACAAGTGAGGCATGAGATCTCAAGGCCCTATTCAGGATTATCCTGGGAAGTGTCTCAGGTACATTTGGGTAAAATGTCTGGAGCCCCCGGGGGCCCCTTTGCCCACCATAGTTGGGGGTCTCATCCTGCATCCTGCACATGCTGGTCTGAGGCTATAACAGCTGTTCACAGCTTTCCAGAGTTGGCCACAGTGCTGGGCCAGGTGCAAGCTGGGAGGCCTAGGTCACCTGGCTAAGTGGGACTCACCATGGACCCTGGGTAAGTCCCATCCTCTCTCTGGGTGGCCACGTCTCCCCTTCTGGGCCCTGGATTGCTGCGAGGATCCAGAGAGAGCTTTAGCAAACTGAGGGAAAGTGGTTACAGGGGGAATTGTCAATGTGGATCCAGGGCGATGTTTTACACAAGAGGAATCAGGCAGATCTAAACGCCCCAGGTGATCAGCGAAAGGTATTCACAGCCTAGAAACTGACAAGAGAGAGGGCTGAAGGGGAGGGTGCCCTCTGGGGATCTTGTCACCCACCTGCCTGTCTCTCGTTTAAGTTTTCCTAAGACCTCACAACTCAAGACCAGGGCTTCCTGAAGGAGCCCTCACTTTTTTTTAACCCCCTCTAAATGGGTTGGATATTTATTTGTGCTATTGGTGGTCTCTGTTCCCCTGGTCTGTGAGTTCAGGAGGCAGGGCCATGCTTGGGTTTGCTTTGTCCCCGGCTGCAAGGCATCTTGGAGTGGCAGCTTCTCCTTTCCCACGCTGGGGCGCGGCGAGTCTGTCCTGTCTGCTGAGCCCTACCCTGCCGATTCCTCCCGAGGCCCTGCCCTGGGGACCCTGCGGAAAGCTGGCCCAGAGCCCCTCACTCTAGGCCCCTCCATTTTCGCTCCCTCTTCTAGGCTGAGGTCTTCGGTGGCATCGAGGGAGGGCAGCCCTGCTTTCCCTCACACTTCTCCATAAATGATTTTCTCACTTCTCCAGCAAACTGCCCCAAACCTGCCGCAGCTCTCACAGCAAACAAAACCATCACGTCTCAGAGGCTGCTTCTGTTTCTGCCTCTTCCTTCCTCTGAAGCAATGAAGCACAGAGCACGTGCCTGCCGGGATTCACTCATTCATTCAACAAATATCTACTGCAGTCTGCTTGGTGACGTGAACTGTTAAGGACTGAGGGTGCCTTCCTGAACAAAAATACAGAAATCCCTGTTCTCCTTGAGCTTCCATTTGAGTGGAGAGAAAGAAATAATGAATAACCAAATTAAATAGTACGCTACCAGGTGATAAGTACTACAGAAAAATAATAAAGCAGACTGAGCAGGACAAGGGATACAAGGGGGACTGCAGTTTTAAATAAGGTGGTCGGGGGGCCGGCCCGGTGGCACAAGCGGTTAAGCGCGCGCGCTCCGCTGTGGCGGCCCGGGGTTCACTGGTTCGGATCCGGGGTTCACCGGTTCGGATCCCGGGCGCGCACCGACACACCGCTTGTCAAGCCACGCTGTGGCGGCGTCCCATATAAAGTGGAGGAAGATGGGCACAGATGTTAGCCCAGGGCCAGTCTTCCAGCAAAAAAAGAGGAGGATTGGCATTGGATGTTAGCTCAGGGCTGGTGACACTCAGGAAAGAAAAGGGGAAAAGGGAAAATGCAGGGGGAAAAACATACATTAGAAACCTTTTGGGGCTGGCCCTGTGGCTGAGCGGTTAAGTGCGTGCGCTCCGCTGCTGGCGGCCCGGGTTCGGATCCCGGGCGCGCACCAACACACCGCTTCTCCGGCCATGCTGAGGCCACGTCCCACATACAGCAACTAGAAGGATGTGCAGCTATGACATACAGCTATCTACTGGGGCTCTGGGTGGAAAAATAAATAAATAAAATCTTTAAAAAAAAAAAAAAGAAAGAAACCTTTTGGTGGCTCTTTTTTGTCCCAGAATCAATTGCTGACTTTAAACATGGTCTTCAGGTTGTTCGTGGCCTGGTTCCTGCTTTCTCCAGCCACACAAAGTCCACTACACACACACACACACACACACACACATGCTCTGTCTCCACACTCTGACCAACTTCGAATGTGCATACTCTCCCTGTACCACACACAGCAGATGCACGCTACTCACAGCATAAATATAAAATAATAGAGGTTTGTGGGAGAACATGGGAGGTTAGCTGAATGGATCTACAAGGAAAACAAGCAGAAGTCCTAGCCATATAGTGTTTAACTCCAACGTCAAGCTCACTTATAACTGCAGATCATCTGCATGTGAAGGGGCAATTAGAGATCATCCATTCCACCCCTCACTGGGGCCCAGAGAGGGATGGTGGTGTCCCTGGGGTCACACAGCCTTATCTGAACATCAAGGCCAGAAATTCTGCTGCAGAATGACATCTTGTGCACGTGGTCATTTCATAAGAGCTCAAGTTCCTCTATTGAGCCTCAGAAGGAGCAACGTCTGGCTGATTTCCCCTCCACCAACTGACCGCGGATGAACTGAGCACCGGAGTTAAGGGGCCCCTCACCAATCTCTGCGACGCCCAAGGCAGCACCATCTTTCCTGACTGTAGATTCTGTCCAGGGGCTCTAGATTTGTCCTGGAAAGACAAGGGAAGACTCTCTGTTGTTCCTCGGGAAGAGGAAAGTCTACAGGTTGTCAAAATACAGAACCTGGAAAGAAGCTCTTGCCATGGACCAAGGCTTGGCTGGCTGTGGTATGACCTTATGAGCTGAGATTCTTTGGCCAACATCCAGTTCTCTGCCAGGAGACCAGAGGAGGGGAGTCTCTGGTGGCTCAGAAAGAAAAGGGGCACTTTAGCACTTTGGGGCTAAGTGTTGTAACCCTAACACCCAAGAGGAAGTTAGAACTAAGTGTGAAGGTCATCAGATTGTGACAAAGCCAACAAAAACAGTCAAATGAATAAAGCTGTGTTGCAAATCCTTCGACCAGAGGATGGGGGTAGGGGGTGAGTGCACGGGAGCCTGCTTGTGTGAAGGTCAAGTCTTACTCCTACTTCCAGGTGAGGCCGAAAGAGGTGAAAATTACACTCAAATCACCAAATCCCTCCCAGGCTTCAAGAATACCCATAGCTCTTCTCCCCACTGCTTCTTCCACAGCCTGGCACATCCCTGACAGCAGTGGGCCTCCCTCACAGTGCCCGAAGCTGCCTCCATCCCACACTCCCTTCCAACCTGCCCTGTCTTTCAGATTGAGGCTCTTAGGAGCTGTGTAGCCCCTGAGCAAACGGCTTTTGCAGTTGGCTTCCTCTCATAGAACGGAAACATTCGCCGCTAATGATGATAACGGCTACCGTTTATTGAGCAAGCTCCCACTGCCAGGTTCTATGCTGAGAATTTCACACACCAGTCTTCAGTTAAGCGTTACCGCTCTTCTATGACAGGTTCCATTTGCACTTTACTGACCAGGAAACTGAGGCTCAGAAATGTAAAGCCATTTGCCTGAGGTCCCATAGCCAAAACCGGCTGGCTCAGGATTAGAACTGAGGTCACACTCCCGGCTCAAGGTCCCCTAGTATTTTGCCTCTGGTAAGGTCTCTCTAAGGAGCCAGCTTTCCTCGTGGGACAACCGCCAGAGGGTTACTAAATACATTTTAAAATTAAATACTGTTAAAAGTCTCTCATCCCCCAGAAACCCCCAAAAACGGATGGATGAAATGGACAGACAATACACAAAAATAGAAATACCAATAAAAAAACGTTTACCACCCTAGTAAGCAAAGAAATACAAATTAAAATTACAACTGTGTATTGCTCTGTGCTTATCAGATTGGAAAAGATTTTTAAAAGAATGGCTACACTAAAAGCCTGGGGCATAGTTTCTTTCATTTACTTCTAATTTGTTGCTATTATGTCCATACGATGGACTTTTCAATTTTTAACTCAACCTGTGTTAAGCTTCGCATGGTTTACGACAATGAGCAATAAACATGTTTATGGTAATTGCCAAGACAAGTCAAGTGCAAAGCAGTCAGGGGCCACATGGAGTGGAGGAGGTAGCCCGGCTGTGCTTGCTGCTCTGGCCCCGCGGCGCGGCTGGGCTCCGGGCCTGGGGCTCCGCCGGGGGTCCGGGCAGTGGGTGGCCCGAGGCCGCCCGAGCCGCGCGCAGCGTGGGGACCACAACTCCCAGGAGCCCGCGCGCCGCCTCGCCCCGACCACGTGACCGCGCGGGGCCCCGGTGGCGGTCGCAGCGGCCGTAGAACCCACTCGGAGTCGGGAGACCCGAGGAGTCAGGAGACCGGAGCGAGAAGGCGCGGCCCCAGCGCCGGCCCAGCGCGCTCACCATGGAGGTCAGTCCGGGCGCCGCCGAGAGAAGCGGACGCGGGTGGGCAGCCGGGGTGGGGCCCCTCGAGCAGCCGAGGCGTCTGCCCCACACACCCAAGGGGGTGTGTTGGCAGCGTTGTCAACTGCGGGAACAGGGTTGGGGGGACGCGGGAGGCAGAGCTGGCGGTGACTTCGGGGGCTTTCTTTTTATTTGCCCCTCTTGCTGGGCATCAGTCCGGCTAGACGAGCAGTTACCGGGCACCTGCTGCGGCGCAGCTGAGGGTGGGGGCGCGGTGGGTGAAGACAGCCGAGTCCGGGGGTCCCCTGCCCTGGACGCAGTGACATGGGGGAGATTCCGGGAAGGCTCCCATGAAGGGGAAACCCGGGTGCATTTCAGCCTGCCGCCAGGCGCTCACACACCGAGCACAGCCCCCCTTGTCGGTTCCCTATCTTCACAAGTTCCTGGTCTGATTTTTTGGGAGAGAAAAAACCCAGACCCTGCTACTTTGCATCCTCCCTACACTTGGGGCAGAAATAGCATTTCAGATAGAAACGCTTGGCAGAGTTCTCCTGGGCTGGTAGAGAATGACAGCTTGCAAGACTCTTTAGTCCTTGAAGAAATCATTTCATTTTCTTCATCCCATGAAGAATGTTATAGAATTTAAGATACAGGAAGCCAATACATACAGGTCATTTAGTCAAACGCCCAGCCCCACCTCCTTCCCGTTCTCTAAAAGGAGAAACAGATGGAAAGAGCTTGTGAAAAATTCACCAGCCAGTCAGCCACAGGACCGGGACCTTAATCTCCCCCTAAACTCTGGTTTATAAGTGAGGGAGCTTTTCTCAAAGTGTAAATAACCCCAAATGAGAAAATAAAGAAGAAAACAAGTCCCATTGTTTGAAAACAAGTCCCAAGATTGCTCTCTTCTTCACCACAGCCCCTCCCTACCCAGGGTGGGGCTCTAAATAGCACAGAGAAGTTCAACTCAGGTGCTGGAGGCTGAGATATATCCTAAGGGGGGAGACAAAGATTAGAGCCCTGCTCCTTGCATATCTGACCACAGGGCCCTTTAACTGAAAGCTGCAGCCCCAAGTCAGGGTGTGCTGATTTGAATCTTTTTCTCTGGTGAAAAGCCCTTCAGGGCTGCTCACTCCCCAGTGAGGTGGAACTGGACCCTCTGTGTGGTCACTTCCAGCTTGGAACATACTGGACTATCAGTCTTACCCTGGCTGCCTCCTGCTCCTCCGGCTTCAGAAGTCCTAGCCACCTGCTTCCCCATCTGGGTTAGGTGTCCCCAGCACCCCCCAGGAAACGTCCCCCGTGCCTCCCTCTCACTGACTCCATATACCCTGTTGCCATGATCTATTCACTTCCCTCTCCCCTAATAGATGGTTCGAGGGCCAAGGACTTATCACATTCATCTCTGTATCTCCAGCATCTGCAGCCCTAGCACAACAAAAGTAAATGTTGGTTGAAGGAATTCTATTGTTTTATGGGCGTTCAGGTCTGCAACAAAAGCTGTATGGGGCCCCTGAGAGAGCCGGCCCAGGCCCAAGGATGATAGAAGGAACCCAGTTATGGAACCTCTCTGATTAATTAGCCATTGGGGACATTCCAATCATGCCAATTGCTTTATCAAGCCAACGCAGAGGAGTAATGGCGAAACACCCCTCCTCCCGCACCGCACAGATGGTGCTGGAGGCTTCTGCTGAAGTTGGATGAGAGCAGCTCCAGTGTAATGAAGCTTTACAAGGTTATTTGTACCTGTTTGTTTTTCCATATCAATCTTTTGTGAACATTTGGCATGTCAACATTTTTTTTTTTTGAAATCTTAACAAAGGCGATCTCTGGAGAGTAGGACTCAAAATTACTTTTGCTTTCTTTTTGGTACTGTTTCAGCTTTTGATATTGAGCAAGTACTGCTTTCAGATTAGGGAGATAAAAATCTACTTTTAAATTCTTTAACATGATTTTTAAATGGCTGCATAGGTTTCCATTGTTTTCCTGTGAGATCTTGGACAAAACCCTTCCCCTTGTGGGTCTCCTTTTTCCCCTGTGGAAATGAGATGGGAGTAGAGATAGGCTGGACCAGATCAGCGTTTTCCCACTGAGTTTCAGCAGAGCTCGGACCTTTCTCCCCTCTTCCCCCAGAGCCCAGTCTTTTATATGGTGGAGTTACGAGGAAGATTTTATTTGCCAATGTTCCCTGGCAAAAAAGTTGAAAACCAGGGGACTAAAAATTCTCTGAGAAAATAAATAAGTCCTGGGGATGTAATGTACAGCGAGGTGGCTGTAGTTAATAATGCTGTATTGTATATTCGAAAGTTGCTAAGAGAGTAGATCTTAAAAGTTCTCATCACAAGAAAAAAAAATTTGTAACAATGTGTGGTGATGGATGTTAACTAGACATATTGTGGTGATCATTTTGTAACATATATATATATCGAATCATTATGTTGTACTCCTGAAATTAATATAATGTTATATGTCAGTTATATCTCAATAAAAACAACTCTTTGAGGACCCTTCTAGCTCTGACGTTTGAGGCTTCTAATACTTGGCCGTTGTCTTAGAAGGTGAAGGCTTCCACTAGTTGATCCCAACTCAGCCAGGATCTCCTTAGCTGGGCGAGCACTCACAGTGTTTGCAAAGCTGCTGCTTCTGCCAGCTGAGAAGGTCTTACCTGGTGACGAGCGGGGACTTCCCTTCCCTGAGAGAGTGAACTAACTGATTGATCCGTCTGGCTTTAATCTTGCCAAACACAGTCGATAAGCCTGGAGTGGGCATTCAGAATCGCCATCCAGTTCCCATCTTGTCCTCCTTTCTTGGTGACCGAGGGGCAGCACGGTATCCTGGAATGCACAGGGCTTCGGCATCCAACTAAACCTGGGGTGGAATCCCAGCTCTGCCAATTTACTAGCTTTGTGACCTTCAGCAAATTACTTTTCTGAGCCTAGTTTCCCCATTTTTCCTTCCTTTGAGATGGACCTAATCGTCCCTGTCACACAGAAGACTGTTATGAAACGAGATCATGTATGAAAAGCCCTTGATGCCATCCCCAGCACAGGGTGGAGTGGGCGCCCTTTGAAAGAGCATTCAGACAGGTGCTGTGTGGTCACTGCTTCTGCCTTCATTCTTTCTATAAGGCTCTGAGCTCCTTGAGGGCAGAGACATTAACCTTTGTCCATAATGCTGGGCAGAGAATTGGGCTCAGCAAATGTCTGGTGAATGAGTGAACAGATGTGGAGTATAGATTGAAGACAGCTGCTCCTGCGCTCCTCTGTGATAAACACCACTGGAGCAGAATAGCTGGGGCCCTGGGGGAAAGAAGGGGCAGTCAATACTCAGTCTAGTGCTTCTCCTTTGGGTTTGAAGGGCATGGAGGGGACATCTCAGCATGACCTGAGAGCACTTTGACCTGGTTGGCTCAGTGAAGATGGGCACCCCTCACACCTCACTTCCACGTGGAGCAGGGCCAGCTCAGTTAGAGCTCTGCTGCTGACCCACTGTGGGACCCTGTGCAAGTCCCTGCCCTGTCTCGCCTCACTTGGCCCTGATGACCACTAATGGCCCTTCCAGCACTTAAGTGCAGTGACCCCATTTTTCCGGACATTTAGAGGAGCCTGCTAGAGAGCATTAGGGACCATGATTTCCAGTGCCCTAAGCCCCCTGTGATGCAGATTCCTTTCTCTTTCAGATGCATTTCATCTTCTCAGATAAGGTGGTGCTTCTGTTTGATTTCTGGAGTGTCCACAGTCCTGCAGGTAAGAACTGGGAAGCCCAGACTTGTCGCTCGGGAAGCCTGGTAGCTCCAGGCAACAGAGAACCTGGGTTCTGCTCTGTGGACATTTAAGTGAGCCTGACTCCTCTTGCACAAACATTGAGTGGGAACTTTGCAGTTATATTTCATTTGCAACCACTGCCCTTCAGATTGCAAAGTGCTCCATTATCTCACTGATCCTCCAAAGGCCCAGAGAAAGGCCAGGGATGCAGCTTTTCCCTCTGGTCCAGGGGAAAGAACTGAAGCCCAGAGAGGGGAAATCCAGTCACACAGTGAGTAAGCCTCAGAGCCAGAACGAGATTAAGGCATCCTGTTGCCTCCTAGCACCTCCCTCATCCAAGGCTCACTGTTCAGCATCAGCTCAGAAGCCCAGAGCAGCTGCAGCCTTGGATCTCAAATGAGACACCAATTTGAAAGAGAAGAGTATTCCTTTGACTTGAAAAGGCAGAGTTGGGCACTAATTCATGATGGAGTTATGTTTCTATTTAAATAACTGCATCTTAAAAATACACTGGAAATGGCCCAAATGCCCATCGTGGCGGGTGCTGATCAAATAAATTATGGTCATCCCTACAAGGGGTTACTATTCCAGTAATCTATTGAGGAGTAAACCTAATGGCTTAAAACAACAGCAGTCATTTTATTATTCTTTCTCAAGGTTCTGAGTTGCCTGGGCTCAGCTAAGCGGGCCTCACTCAGGGTCTCTCATGAGGGGCTAGTCAGACAGTGGCTGGAACTGGAGTCTTCTTGGAGACTTCCTCACTCTCACGTCTCCTGGTTGATGCTGGTTGTTAGCCAGGACCTCAGCAGGGGTTGTTGGCTGAACGCCTACACGTCTCGTCTCCTATGGCCTGGGCTTCCTTGTGGCACGGCGGCCAGGTTCCAAGAGTGAGTGAGTGTGCTGAGAGAACAAGGTGCATGGAATTTTTAAGACCTAGCCTTGGAAGTCGCAGAGCATCACTCCACCTTTATTGGTGGAGGCAGTCACAGAGGTCTTCTCAGGTTAAAGGGGAGGGAACACAGAGCCACCACTTGATGGCAGGAGTGTTGACATTGTAAGAAGAGCACGTGGGGTGGGCAATAGCGAGGTGGCTGTCTTCAGAAAATATAACCTATCAGATGCTGTGAAGCCATAGAAGTAAGGTAGATCTGTGTGAACTAAGGGGCACCCACGTACGAGGTATAGTTGGATGATGACATCAGATGCAGAATAGTGTGCACAGACAGGATGCTGTCATTTAGACAAATAAAGACTTCTGTATATACATTGAGTATCCCTGGAAAGCTAGAGGAAATGCTAACAGAGGCTACTCTGGGGAGGAGAACTGGGGTTTGGGGAGACTGGGCTGGGAAGATTAACTTTTCACTGTCTACCCTTTTGCACTGTTTGAATTTGCACCATGTGCTTGCAATTACCTGTAATTTTATACTTTAAAAACCTGCATCTTTCAGATGATTTCCTCCTGGGAGCCCAATAAAATACTATAGCTGAGCCATGTAGTATCCCTCCACTTGTAAAATGGAAGTAGCAATTAGCAGTTAATTTTACAAAGCAGCTTTAGTAAGCACTTAATGTTTTCTGTAAAATAACTTATTGGTTTTTTTTCTGCTATTATAAAAGTAATGCACACAGTAGAAACTTTGGACAATTAGGTGAGAAGAAAATAAAAACCTCCTCTATCCTAATTTGCTGAGATAATTATGACTCTTTCGCTGTATCTCCTTCCTTCTAGACTTTTCTGTGTACATACACATAAACAAGACTTTGCTATACACGATCTTCCCTTAAGAAGTCGTGACAGAGATTTGTGCCCTCTGCTGGGGGAGCAGCTGAGGGCAGTGGTGTGTGGCTTCTTCACCCTCAGCCCCTGGCTTCTCCAGGTGGCTCCTCTCCTGATCACAAAGCCACACGCCAGTAGGCCAACCCTACTGAGAAAGGGCTGGAGGGGGAAAGAGACAGTGAAGAAGTTCTGAGCCCAACGAGGGTGGGGAGGAAGATGCAAGGGAGAGGTAGAGGGAATGGCTTCAGAGGGAATGGGTGGGGGTGCTCTTCTGCCACCTGTGCCAGGTCCCAGGGGAAGCTGCCGGAAGGGGAGCAGTGCTCGGCTGGCCAGGTCTCTGCAACTCAGCTTCGTGTGACAGGCATGGCCTTGTCGGTGTTGGTGGTCCTGCTCCTGGCTGTGTTGTATGAAAGCATCAAGGTTGGCAAAGCCAGGCTGCTCCACCAGGCTCTGGTGAGCCTGTCCATCCCCACCAGCCAGCAGCTCATCGAAGAGACAGACCAGGATTCTTCAGGCTCAGACTCAACACCAGTCGGCAAAACCCGCCTCAGGTAACAGGCACGGGGTGTGGGGAACGGGCAGTGCTCACATTCACCCTGAGAGGTGAATTAGCCCCACTTCACAGAAAGGAAATTGAGGCCCAGGGAAGGACCAGGACTTGCCGAAGTGCTTAGAGTTGGTAAGCAGTGAAGTGAACTAGAGCTCGGGTCTCCTGGTGCCCAGGCCAGAGCTATCTGTGAACAGCCATTCGGGAGGCTCAGATCTCAGAACTCTGGTACCGGCCTCAGTCTAGCAATGGGGCTGTCCCCCCAGCCCTCGCCCAGATCTCACCAGGCTTCCTTAGGTCACTAATGCTTCCAAACCCAGGATGGGATCTGCAGCTGTCCCTACACAAGTGATAAGAATTGCTGTCAGTCATGTACCCAACTTGGTGGGGGTGGGGCATGGGCAGCCTCGTCTTTCCTTTCTGCCCTTCCCATTCTGATAGGACAACCATTGCGGGTTCCAATTCTGCCCGCTTTCCAGCTCCTGCTGTGCTTCATGAGCCTGCCTGCTCCTTACGCGGGTGTCTGGAATATTCACAACCACCCCGCAAGGGAAGTATTCTTATTCCTTTTTTGCTGATGAGGAAATTTAAGTTCAGAGTGGTTAAGACATTTGTGCTAAGCCACATTTAGTGAGTGGCAGAGCTAGGAATCGATCTGTCACCAAAGTCCATGCTCTTTCCATTGTAATACTGCCTCCTACAGTGGATTCAGAAAAAAAAACTACCTTAGTGATGATTTTGTATTATCCCTATCAGACATGATAGATTACATCTCTCATCATTTTCCCTTTTTGCCTAGGATGCCAGGAAGCTCAGAGCCAAATGTGGTGGAGAAGTGATTATTCTGGACTCCTTGTACAAGTCCCTCTCCCCACTCTATCAATGGTTTCTGATATGTCGCTTTCAAAAGAAATCTTGGGACTGGCCTGATGGCTAATGGTTGGGTTCACGCACTACACTTTGGTGGCCCGTGGTTCTCGGGTTTGGATCCTGGGAGGGGACCTACACACTGCTCATCAAGCCATGCACTGGCAGCGTCCCACATACAAAATGGAGGAAGACTGGCATAGATGTTAGCTCAGGGACAATCTTCCTCACCAAAAAAAAAAAAAAAAAAAAACCTCTCCTGGGTTAAACATACAAATTATAAATAAGCTGGTCCCGTAACTGAGCTTCCAGCTCATTCCCAACATTAACTTGGCTCTCCTTTTTGTCTAGGTGGCTTTTGTGTCACTTTGGCCAGTCTCTAATCCACGTCGCTCAGGTGGTCATTGGCTACTTCATGATGCTGGCCGTCATGTCCTACAACACCTGGATTTTCTTCGGCGTGGTCCTGGGCTCAGCTGTGGGCTACTACCTAGCCTACCCCCTTTTCAGCATGATTTAGCTGTGAGGGCTGTGCAGGCACCGGGCGCTGGAGACAGCTGGGGCCCCCTCTTCCAGACGTTGAACTTCCAGCCCCACGTCTCCGTTTTCTTCTGATGGCTGTTCCTCATCCCGCTCCCAGCTTCTGGAAACTTGCAGCTGACGCCAGCACTTGCTCCCTGGAGTTCAGAGGCCATTGTAGCTACCTCTCTTCTCAGCCAGCCAGCCCAGGCCTAGTCTGTTGTGCCTTAAGAAGGCTGCTGCGACCAGAGGGAGAATGGAGAGAACAGAACCTGGAGGCAGGGTTGCTGAGCCCGTGATGACTTATCTTTGTGACTCAAAACTTGAGAATTTCCAAAGATCTTCAAGACAGGGAGATGGGTTCTGGGTGACGAAGAACATGGAACCTGGCTGCCCTCTGCTCTCCTGATTTGTGCCTTAGCTAGAGGAGCATCTTCCATTGGATTTCCTGACCTCTTCTGTCTTTGGGGACAGAGACCAAGCTGGCTCCTTTTTCTTACCTTTCTGCCTTTGGGACACAGGAAGATGGTCTCTTCTGTGGATCATGTTGACACCTGAAGATTCTTCCTTTTTGCCTACTGAACTCCTGCTTGGCAATTTTGCACATTAATACAAAACAAAATTTTTAATGCAATGACTTCATTGTGTTCATGACGGATGGCAGCATCTGCTGGGACCTGTTTGCCTTTCTTGGGGGAGAGTAAGTGAGAGTGGATTAAAGGCAGAGAAGCAAGGCTGTTTCCAAGGCTCCTGACTTATCCTCTGGATGGAATGAGCTCTTCCCATCAGACTACACTGCCCGCAGTAGGAAGAGAGTCTAATGGCTTTAGGTGTCTAGGGGGCTCTTCATGGCCTCATGCCTGCTCTGATCCTGATTCCTCTTTTACGCAGAACAGACAACTGCGCTGAATAATAGTTAATACTTAATGTTCTCTATTTATTAACTTACCACTCACACATAACAATCTGGTGGGGAAATATGATTAATTCACTTAAAATACCAAGTAAGCCGCGGGGGGTATTGACTGAAGATGCCATAAGCAGTCAAACCAAAGCATTACGTTTGTAGAATTGGATGGGACTCTCCAGATACCTGAACCTCTTCACTTTATAGCACAGGAAACAAGAGACCCAGGGAGAGAACATCACTGCTGTGTACTGTAATGTCTACGCTCAAGTACCTCGCGGGCTAGAGGAAAGATGATCTTAAGCTTTGGGAATTAAAAGAGAAATACATTTTAATAAATATATTTTTAAACAATCTGTGACTGTGCTTTTTCTCCTCATTTGAACAGCAAGCACACACAGCCCTTATAAGAACTGCAGGAGCTGAGTGGGGCGGGAGCTTATAGTGCTGGCTGTCGGGCTGTCTAAGGACTGAGTCTGTCCACCACGATGAAGACAACTCGGCTCAGGGAACCCAGCCCTGAAATGCTGAGCCCACAGGCACACACCCCACAAGGCCAGCCTGGTCAACAGGCATTCTTTTGTTCATGTGACAGACAGTGATCAGGTACCTGTTGTGAGAAAAGTCACTGTCACAAGGACTAGAGGTACCCGTGCTGGCACGATTATTAGTACCTTCTCTCCCTGAGGGCAGAAGCAAAAACATATCAAAACCACTTTTTAATTGACAGTAACTGTCACAGAAAGTATAGTATGTGACACCTTCGGGATTGATCAGTGCATTCCCCCACACATGCAGGGAACTGGAAGGCTGCTCAGTGTCACAACAGGTGTGAAGATTTCCCATGTCCGGTGTAGTCTTGCTGATGGAGCCTCATGCATCCATTTATATGTCCTGACCAGCTAAGGCTCCCTCCCCTGGGCCACCGCTGAGATGAGCATCTCCAAGCCCTGCAATCGGATACAATCTCTTTACATTTGAGGCTTTTAGTATAGAGGGCTTTAAAAAAAAATCTATGCTCTAGAGAGACGATTATGTGGTTAGATGCAGTAGGCACTTCAACATTCTTCAGAGCCAAGTCACAAGAGGTGGCATTTTCTCTACTTAAATTTTTTTTTAATTGAACAAACACCTCGGTAGTGCTGCTTATGTGCCAGGCGGTGTCCTAAGCACTTTACAATATTAACTCACTTAATCCTCACAACAAAGTAGAAACTGTTTTTGTCCTTGTCTTAGAGACAAGGAAACTGAGGCACAGAGACGTTAAATAAAGTCACCCAGCTAATAAGTGGCTGTAAGTGGGGATAAGAGTGACTTCTGCAAGAGTTGCTGGAGAGGAGACAGTATGTGTCAAGTGCTAAACAACAGTGCCATTTGTTAAACAACAAAGTTTAGCAAATGGTAGTTCTTACTGCCTCCCGGCCCTGCGTATGGGAGACAGGCTCAAAGCTGTCATCAAAAAGGATGATGTCAGGCCAGATGAGGTGGAATTTGAGTTCCTATCTTATAAACATTTCAAAGCAGGGAACATTTTTATTAAAATTATTCTACTGGTTGTATGGTCTTTGGAAGATGCTAGAATAAGTAAAATGACCACAAATATTTCCTCACTACTGTTCTCTTCACCAGCCCTGGGCCCAAGTTTAGAGGGAATGGAAGTGCTCTCTAAGTGAAGAATCTAGGTGCCACGATGGATGACAGTGGAAGGGAGGGACCCTCCCACCTTCTCTGCAGGCTTCCTAGGGTGTAGAACCAGGTCTGCAGCAGCAAGTGGATGACAGGACTGGTCCTCAGATAACTACAATGCCCTGAGCCCTAATGCGGCTGGGATGAGCTGGGACAGCAGAGTGGTGACTTTCTTTGAAAGCCTAAAAGTTCCAAGGTTAGGTACTAAAGGGAATATGTCACAATGCTTTTGAGCGTGTTAACTGACCCACGTCTTTTACAACTCCTACCCTTAGTTCCCAGACAGGAGCACAGACAGCCCTTAGCACCAAATTCAATTTCTCCCCAAGAGCTTAATGTCCTTCAAGACATTTATTTTAGGTTTGTTAATTTCAAATATTCATTGACTTCTTGTATGAGATTTAAGGCAGAGAAAAGACACATGTCCCAGGACTGCAGGCAAGGCTGTTAACTGAACCCGGGTTTAGATGGTGTAATTCATCCTTGGTTCTACCACGGACACCTCACTCCAGGTAACAGGTCCTGCTGCTGGGGCACAGTTGAGCATTGGGAGGCAGATCAGTCTGAGACTTAGTGAAGAGAATAAAAAGCTTGGAAGAGGGCAGACTCTTGTAGGTGACCAGCTGGAGGGGAACCTACCAGCCCTTCCTCCAAGTGGGCCTCTGAGGCGAGACCACGGTCGCCTGCTGACAAGCCCAGCGTTCTGAAGACAGGCTCACACTCCTCTTCACCTGGCCGGGCAGGGGCTTCAAAGTTGTCTAACTCAGATATCTGAACTACTGTCCTCAGAATGCTCACCTTCACCTCACCCTGTGGCTCGTCTAGACCCAGGGCTGGCTGTGCAAAATCATGCTTAAGGAAAAGGTGATAGAGAAACCTTTGCGCCAGTTTCCTGGGTCTTCATCCCAGCCAGTCAGGGTCATCGTCATCATCATCATCTCCAAAAAGGGGTGTTGGGGGCGGGCGTCCCTTCATGCTCTGACAAAACAGGAAAGAGTAGTCAGTCCTCTCTTGTCCCTGCACCAGATGGACTTCCCGCCTCGGTACGGTGGAGGGAGCCAACATCTCGTCCCGGCTCCAGGGTGGAAAGGAGTTGCTGTTTAGGGTTTTAATGAAAGGACTAACCCTGAGGCCAGCACCTCGGCTCCCAGAGAAAGCTGAGACAAGCATGCAGAGAAGGGAGGCAAGCTTTCAACACAGAGACAAGAAGACCAACTCTGTTTGGCTAATTTTGTCATTTATTTGTGAAGCACATGTATTAACTTGACAGGTTTCCTCTCGTGGTAACTTACACATTTCGTGTGGGGAAAGAAGGGTTGGAGGGGAGAGATGGGAGCAGGAGAAAGAAAACAGAGAAGCAGAGCAGCCCTAAGGGAAGAGGATGCAGGAAGATGAAGGGAGGTTGGGAAGAATACAATCACATTTGAAAAGCCACTTGTTGCGGCCTAAAGTAGCCTGTCTGGCTCTGGACGTGGCCCCATTATTTGAGGGAGTTGAACTTAGGAGCCTGACCACATTACCAAGTGGAGATTCCCAAGAGACAAAGCCCAGGAACATGGCCACAGCCTCCCACGCCCCTGGTCTCACTGGCCCCTCCTTCGCCCTCCACCCAGGCAGGGGGAAAAGGTGGTTAACCGGCCACGGAGGAGACTCTCCTCACTTTTCAGAATTTGAGATCCTGGCCCTTTTCTCCTGCATTGGTGGGGCACAGGAGCCCTGGGGTAGTGGGGACCGATGCTGGAGACAGGCGTGCACTGAGTCTCCTCTAAGGTACTTTCTGCCCTGTGAGCTACTCCCGGATCAGTGTGCACAGGGCCAGCCAAACAGAAGGCAGTGTGACACAGTCAGGGGTTCCTGGGCTAATCCCATCTCCACCACCGACCAACAGCCCTGCACCTCTCTCTGCGCATCAGTTAAGTGATCGCTAAACTCTGACAGTACAGCATTTTAAAATGTGGCTCACTGCTTCTGTTTTGTTCCAGCTAAATATCTGGCTCCACATTTACCAGCTATATAACCTTAGGCATGTTATTTAATCTCCCTGAGCCTCAGTCCTCTTTCCTATAAAATGGGATAAAAGTACCTACTTCATGGGATTAGTAGAGGATTAAATGAGAATGTCTGTGAAGTAGTTTTCAGAGTATCCAAGAAACAGAAGTTAACGTGATGGTATTAGTATTAATACCAATAATATACTGCTAATTTAAAAATTCCAACTATATTTAGGGCAGTCATTTGGGATACTCAATTGGTTTACTGTTCTTTTTTAAGTGCAGAATTCACATTCAGAATTCTCAAATGAAAATTTAATTCTTGGGAAGAAAGGCTAATGGGAGGAACTGGTGCACTTTCCCCACAGGAACACAGGCAAGAGGGAAGGGTCTGGCACACGCAAGCCAATCCCAGCTCTGTCAGCCATTTTCCCAAGGTTTTGACAAAAGGTAAACCTACCCTGGTTAATACACGAGAGGACAGAATTTGCCCCTATTCACCTCATGTTTCTGTCCTGGGCATAGACTGGGCCTGAAGCTGATCGGTGCTCTCCACCCACATCTCACTCGTGACATTCCCAGCACAGCAGCCAGGTGTCCTAATGAGAGCCAGGAATGCTTTTACTTCACACGATGGGGAAGAGCAGAGGCAAGAATCGGGGCTCTGACCCAGGCACGACTCACCCTCCTGGCCTTCACTCTGGAGCTTTGTAAAGCGAGGCGATGCTATCAGCCCTCAACCCATTTTCTGCCCTGGGATGTTGTGATGACAAAATAAGGCAGCAGGTCAGAAAGCAGGCCAAGGAAGCAGACAATGCTCAGAAACAGGTGGTCTCAGTAGCAGCCTGGGGTTTTAGGCCTGGCCCTGCCATTAACTCACTCTGGGGCTTTAGTGAAGCATCCTCCCGAGCCGTAGGCTGTCTATGAAGAAGGATGCCAAACAAGATCTTCAAAGTCCTTTCCAATTCTAAAATATAAATAATGTCCTAGCAGATCTGAGGAAACCTGAGGCTTTAGCAGCCAAACTTTCTTCACTTCAAGTGGAAATAACTCCTGCATGGACAGAGATGATGACCCCTTTTCAAGAATAAAGTGCTATCTGCCCATCCCTGCTATGCTTACCAAGCGGCCCCCTCCCAGCCCCAAGCCTGCTCCCACAGGGCCCTGCACACAGAGCCCAGGGAGCGGGCCACCAGCAGACTCCAGTTCTCTTCTCCGAGCCGGCGGGGAAGGGCCCCCACGTGGTGGCGAGAGGACTTGGCAGTGCCTGGGATTTCCTTACCACATCGTCTTCATCCTCCTCCTCAGGCTGTGCTGTGGGCCTCGGAACTTTCAGAGTTGCCCCTTTAAACAGTTCATCCTCTTCATCCCCGGAAAGACTGAAAAATTGAGACAATCAAATCAGAAAATGTTGTTCCTGCTTCAGACCACAGTGCCCACAGGCTCTGGGGTAAGAATCCAAGAGCTGTGGTGGTCACCCAGGAAACCCCATCTCCATGCTGGCCTCTAGCGCTCTTGACTCCTTCCATAACCTACAGCCAGAGCAATACTGTAAAACTCATCAATCACACCATGTCACTCTTCTGCTTAAATCCCTTTCATAGCTTCTCATGGTACATAAAGTCCAAACTTCTAACAGGGACACAAAATCTCACGTGACTTGGCCCCTACCTAGTTTTCCAACCTCAGCTTAACACCACTCTCCTCCTCCTATTTACTGTCCTTCTTTTAGTTCCTTGATTGTGTCATGTCCCCTCCTACCGCAGGGCCTTTGCATGTGCTGTTCTCGCTTTCTGTAATCTCTTCCTCCCACTCTTAGCATGGAAGGCTCCTTTCCATCCTCAGGTCTCAGTTTAAATGTTACCTTCTCAGAATCCTTCCCCAACCACTCAATCTAAAGTAGAATAACTCTCCCTTTATTCTCTATTATACACCCTGCTTCTTTTTCTTTTTTTAAGCATTTATCATACTTTTATAATACATAAGTACTTGTCTTCCACACTAGACTGTAAGCTCCTCAACTCAAGAATCAAATCTGCCTTGCCCACCACACTATCAAAGGGCCTACCACAGAGCTTTTACGGAGTAGGCATTACTGAATAAATACACGAATGAATGAAGAAGTGAATCGGTCAGTGAGTCAGTTTCTGAGGATGAGTTGCCAGCCCTGGGGGACATACCTGGAATGCTGGGAAGAGTGGCTGGGTCCAAGGGCCACTCCTTCAGCTGGAGAACCTGCCTCTGTGCTCGACAGCTCCTTGGAGGGACCAGGGGATCTGGTGACATCCTCGTCTTTCTTGGGCTCTGGAGGCTGAGGCTCTCCTCCTGGACTGTCAGGCCCAAAGGCCAGTGGGTCCCCCTTCTTGGGGTCTGAAGTCAGGGACAGTCTTGTGGAGCTTTCTTGCTCCCCAACACAGGCATTTCCCAATGGGCTGGCAGCAAGTGTCTCCTCAGGCTCAGAGTCCACAGTCACAGGGCCCGGAGGCTTAGGCGGAATTGAAGTCGGGGGCCCCAGAGCTCTTTGGGAGGGGAGGGAAGCCAGTTCGGGTGGGAGGGAACCATCCTTTATCTCTGAGAGCACCTCTGCTCCTGAGGGCTCCCCTTTCCCTCTCTGTGCCTCATCCTGGAGAGGGGGGAGGGCCTGAGGAGGCAATGGGACAGCTTCCTTGACTACCTGCTCCAATGGCCCCACGGGGGACTCCTGCCTCTCCCTAGTCAGGGGTGCTTGAGACAGTCCAGAATTGGCCGAGACTGACTGCTCCTGGGAAGGTCGTCGAGGTCGCTCTTCTTCTTCTTCTTCTTCCTCGTCTTCATTGCTGCTCTCTCCCTTCTCTGGCTCGTGTTGGTTTAACAGCTGAAGAGTCACCATCTGTTCAAAAGCCAAGGAGAAGGAGAGCATCACCGACAGGAAAACAGCAGCACTCCTAGTCCTTGAGTCCTTACACAACTGGTCATCTAGTTCAAATGACTTTGCTTCTTCCTCTCACAGGAGGCTGTCCATACCTGTCCAGATAAAAGTCATTCCAGGCATCCTAATTACTGATGAACAGTCTTGGATAATTTTTTATTCATGATCCCTTAGAAGGTACTTAAGCAATAAGATACCCATTTCAATGAATCAACCAACCACTGGCTGTACCTTGATTGTATTCATGATGGTTCCCAGAATGGTCCTGCCATCGTAAGATTCCTCCAGTTCAAACTCTCCCCGCAAGGAGTGGAATACCTGGTTCATGATCTTCTTGACCTGTGTGAAGATGTGAGGAGAGAAAAACAGCATCAAAATGCATGCTGCCAAAATCAAGTGATTAAGGGATGCATCTACATTCCAGAGAGGGGTTTGGAAAGCTTATATGAAGCCTCTTAGAATTCTGCAGAGGAACACAGCTGGTCATGAACTGAGACCCTGAAGGCTGTCACTGTGGAGAGGACAATGTTAAATAATGAGCAGCACCTGAGAAGGGCTATCAAGGATGGGTAAGCTGTGGTACATGTGCCAAAGACTGCTCAAAGACCGTTTACTGGTGCTGCCCTCCCACCGCGACCACCGCCAGAGCTGCCAAGGGCTACAAGGATTAGTGGCTAGTAGACGCTGGGCACACTCCCCATTCCTCTCCTGTGATGTAGAGGCACTTCCCATATCTGTCAAAACCTCAGGATAGGGCCCTTCGGGGTCTGACACCAAAGTGGTAGGTTCCAAAGGGTTAATTTTTACTTAAGTTAGACAAGTGTACATTGCTAAAGTTAGAAAAAAAGCTACCACCACAAACTAGCTACATTCTTTCTGAATGCCTGATATGCACATTCAGTCCCTTGAGATGACGCGGTTTGCTTCTTCGAAGTACCAGCTTACCTTCTCTGAGGGGTCAGTAGCAGCAGCCTCAACTCCAGACATCTGGGACTCATTCTTCTCCAGGTCCTTGAGGTGTTGTTCATTTTGCTCTGTCAGGGTTGTGACTTGGGCCTGGAGGGCTGAACACTGCAAAATGAACAGACTGTGGCTGTGGCCTCGGGAACCTGGACCACCAGGTGAAAGTCAGGAACCCCAGGAGGAGGAGAACCATCCAAAGAATCAAGAGTTAACCGCACACAGGCTTGCTGGTGTCCACACCCTCCACCCCCACCCCAGGCCTGCTGACTCAGAGCATTCTATTTCCTCATCACTCAGTCTCAACTCACAGCTTCTCCTCTTCTTTCCCAACAAGGCCATGTGCCTTGTTCCTAATCAGGTCAAGAGTAAAATGCAAGAAGCGGGGTATAACTCTATTCACAAAGATATATGAACAGTGGACATTAGAAACAACCCATTCAGGGGCCAGCCTCGTGGCTTAGCGGTTAAGTGCACGCGCTCCGCTGTTGGTGGCCCGGGTTCAGATCCCGGGCGTGCACCGAAGCACCGCTTCTCTGGCCATGCTGAGGCCGTGTCCCACATACAGCAACTAGAAGGATGTGCAACTATGACATAGAACTATCTACTGGGGCTTTGGGGAAAAATAAATAAAAAAAAAAAAATTATTAAAAAAAAAAAAAAAAGGAAACAACCCATTCACCTATAAGACTGCCTGCATCATCTCCAAGTCAAAGATTTTCAACTGGATACTTGAAGGAAAGAATATGACCCCAGATATGGGGACTTTCACACCATGACCCTAAGCCATCTCCTCTCTCTCTCTCATTTTATGCCAGATGGCCCACTGTACCCATGCTCCATCCCATCTCTGTGCCTTTGCCCGGGATATTCTGCCACCTTCTGCACCTGACCAAAGCTACCTGTCCTTCTTTGCTCTGCTCCCCTCCGCACTTCCACTTCTGGGCCTCACGGCACTTAACACTTCTCTTTCTTTCTCTCTGTCTCCCTTTATTGACTGTGAGATTCCTGAGGGGAAAGTTCTTTGTAAGCCCTTCCCCTAACATAATGTCTGGAATACAACTGGCACACAGTAAATATTTGCTTAATATATGAAGGATCAAATAATAATGGAAAACATGTTCCAGAACACTAGTGCAGCTTTTTCTTTTCTAGGTCACTGATCTGTCATCCCAAACAAGTATGTGAAAGATTACTGGTAAACTAAAAGTTGAACAAGTCTGGTTTTGTTTTCAAGCTATTAACATCTTTTAGGTTCAAAAGGATCTACAAGACTCAACCTCTTTGCCTCAAATTAACTGGGCTGCCCAAGCCATGTGGCCCAGGGAAGACACCCACCTTCTCCTGAAGCTGGAGCAGCTTCTGCTGGTCGGCATCTCTCTGCCGACACACCTCCTGGTACTGCTGCAGGTGTTCATCCTTGGCGGAGGCCAACAGATGTTCACATTTTGCTTTCCACTGGGTCTGTAGCTCAGCCTGTACTAGAGACAGCTGCCGAGAGAAAGTAACCACCATGTCCTGGGGGGGTCCAGTCGCATCTAAGGAAGCCCATCTTTTATAAGGCAAAAAAAACCAAGCTAACAGCCCAGACTTAACAGAGAAGCAACTGTTTGAAAGACCCTGATTACTCTGAAAGTAAATGTACTTTTTTAATGTAAGTAGGAAGATGTCATTGGTTGTCAGGACTCCAAAAGGTACCCAACCAGATAAAGGTGTGACTGTCTAGACACGTCCCTAGAGGGCAGGGCCATAAGGTCATCATACTTTTCAGGGTCTGGGCCCTCAACTTCATAGGTTCAGGAGAAACTTATTCTTGTCAAAATTCCCCCAGGTGAGCAAGTTGAGGGCACCAATTCACTCTAATTAAACATACCAATATGAATTTATGAACTTACAAGGAGAAAGGCCGCTGTCAAATAGACGAGATCCAGCTGTGTCCTGACACTATCCCTGGTTTCCCTGCTGATTATCTAAATAAATCTCTTCTTTTCAAGGACGATAATGTGCCTGAAGGATGGTGTCTGGTGGTTGAAAACATTGGCCTTATCATGTTTGGAAGTTTTTATAAAGACTTTTTTTCATGTTTTACTTATAGAATTAAATTTTCACTAAGCTTTAAAAAAGGAAAGAAGGTTCTCCATGTGACTTCTGGCTCTTCTGCATATATTTGGATTGCCTCCTTCCACCCTTCTCCAAAGTGACAGCATCAACTATGAGGAATGTCATCCTAAAGAATAAGGAAGAAACTAGAAGGTTTTCTGAGTCCTTCATGCCTTCCTTTTATTTCCAAAGTGCTTCAGTTTCCCATTACCTGCTCTGCAGCTGCCTGGTCTGTGGACACCCGAGCCTTTTTCAAGAGCTGTCGAAGTTTGTCCAGTTCCTCCTGGTAAGACTTGCGAATTTCATCTATCTCCTCCTCAGCCTGACAGCGCTCTTGAGCTGACTTCTTTTTCCTTTCTAAGAGGTTCTTAGGAACAAAAGAACAATCATCAGCTCTAGCTGTTTAACAGAGGATAAATGGAGATGCTGGTGGTGGTGGTAGTGATGGTGGTAGTTATTAACCTCACTGAGTCCTTGTTTCTTGTTTTGTTTTGTTTTTTTTTTTTGGTGAGGAAGATTAGCCCTGAGCTAACATCTGCCAATCCTCCTCTTTTTGCTGAGGAAGACTGGCCCGGAGCTAACATCCGTGCCCATCTTCCTCCACTTTATATGGGACGCCACCACAGCATGGCTTGACAAGCAGTGCCTTGGTGTGCACCTGGGATCTGAACCCCAGGCCGCTGCAGTGCAGCACATGCACTTAACCGCTATGCCACCGGGCCGGCCCCTATTTCATTTTTTAGTTTAATTTTCCCTATATATTTAACATTCTTGGCTATTGGGTGAGAAAAATTGTGCCAAGAAGAGCTTTATCTACCATTCTATTAAGAAATGGGGAACATCTTAACAGTGGTGAGGGTACAGGGAAGTGGATACTTTCACACCCTGCCGGTAGGAAAATAAACGGGTATACTCTCTTTGCATGGCATTTGGCAGTCTTGTGAAAAGACTTTCAAAATATGCACACCCAGAAATTCCAAAAGTTGTAATTTATCTTAAGGAAGCAATAAATCATGTTAATAAAGATTGTGTGTTACAAGGATGGTCACTATAGTGGTATCTATAACAATGAAATACTGAAAACAGCCAAAAAATCAGAAGGAGTGGGTTTTAAAAAACCTGATAAAATCATGGAAGAAACTGAAAATGCAGACCAAGATTTATCCCCTAAAAAAGCGCTAGGCCAAAAGGGCTTTACTAGAGGGTTTTACTGAAACCTCAGAAAATATTTGTTCTTTTCATATTTAAACTGTTCCGGAACATAGAAAAAGACAGAAATGTTCCCACTTTGTTCAATGGGGCTAGTATTACTCTGATGTCAACACAACAAAAGATACTATAAATAAAGTTAAACAGCAAACGAGAAAAATATTTCTAACATCTATGACTGACAGAGGATTAATACCCTTAATAGTGTTTACAAATCAAACTAATATTACAATAGGAAAGAGGGCAAAGGACATTAAAAAGAGAATTCACAGAAGAAATACAAATAAGTATTAAGTAACTGAAAGCTTTACTGCTAATAAAAATACATATTAAAACAAGATAGCATATTTTACCTATCAGACTATAAAGATTAGAAAAACTGACATATGCAGAGTTGGAAAAAGTATGGAGAAATGGGCTTGCTCATATAGTGCTGAAGTGTACGCTAGCACACTTCTTCGAGAATAATCTGGCAATATTTTAAAAATTTAGATGTGTAAGCATCTCCTCTGATCAAGCAATTCTAATTCAAGCAATCCATTTTATGGAAATGCTCAAATGAATTCACATAAATAGTTATACAGTACAAGGATGTCCACAGCAGCAACGCTTCAAACAGTGAAAAAACAGAAACATATATATCCATCAATAGGTGAATAGTTAAATAAATTAATGATATAGCCCTACAGTAGACTACTATGCAGTAGTTAAAAAGGAGAAAGATTTCATTATTAGTATATTGTCCATGAGATTAAAAAAAGCATTAAACATGATCCTATTATTGTTAACAAATTATATTAGTGTACGTTTTGTGTATGTATGTTTTAGTGAGTGCATATGTATGTTTTATACATATCAGTCAACAATCTGGAAGGATAATCATCCGCTATTTATAGCTATTACCTCTAATGCATGAGATTAGAGAGGAAAAAGATAAATTTTATTTTTTATTTTATACTTTTCTATATTATTTGTATTTGTTACAATGAGCACAAGCTACTGTAATTTTTAAAAGGAAAATAAAATATTTATTCAACAGCTAATCCTGGCCATTTGGGTCCAACAGAGAAACCTCAGTTGTAGAACTTACCTTTTCCAGAGACTCCTTCTCAGCTCGAAGGTCAGTCAGCTCCTCCTCCAGGGACGTCACCTTGAGTTCCAGTTGTCTCCGGCTTTGCTTTTCACTTTTGAATTTGGACTGTGCTTGCTCAGAGGTTTCTTGGAGCTCTGGGATATAACAGCAGAGATACTTGGCTGTAGAACCAGAGCTGCAGTGGGCTATACAGCATCCCAGCAGCTCCTTCAAAGCTGCATTCTGATCTCCCAATCCCACCATACCAGCACCTTCCACTCACTTCCTTCAGCATCATCTCACTGACCAGCAACAAGTTTATCAAGCCATAAAGTGACTTCTCCACCAACCCATATTTATCTCTGTACGTATGTGTCACCTTCTACACATACAAAATGGAAAAGAAATGTTCTAAACAGTCAAAGACCACCTCCAAAATAGATCACTCCCACAATTCCATTTTAGTCACCATCTCAGGACATTGGACAGATCTTTGTTTATTAGTATTGGTCCAGCCCTTTCTCACTGCCTGGCTAAGATATTCTCAACTTTCTTGGTAGTTGAGACATTCTACCAAGAGTTTACTTTCAAAACATTCCCTCTCAAATAAAGGTATTAGGAATATTGCTTAAAAATGTAATGCATCGAAATTAATTTTCTATGGAAAATTTTTGAGACCCTTAAGGTGCTCTTGTGGAAACTGGGCTAGGGCACCACAAAAGCATAAAAGAGGATATCTGTATGACGTTCAAACCTAAGACTGTCCCTCAGGTGTGCTCAGGTGATGCTCTAAAACGAAAGGGATTTATCTTCAAGGCTTCACTTTATCAACTGACATCAGTGTTGCTTAGCTCTGTTTTCAGGTAAGTCAGCTTTGCTTCTTCCCAGCTCTGCTGCTGCTCCAGCTACACCCTGCCCGCTGGTCTCCTCTGTGCCTCCCACATTTGTCTCTATACACTGAGGCGGATGGATCAACATGGTGGTCTCCACAAATCTTCTATTCAAGTCACCAAGTCTTGAGCAGCACCTCTGTGCCAGGCACTGAACTAACACTACTTTGGAGGAAAGGACTTCACAAAGATGAGCAAGGTGCCATCCTTGCCCTCCAGAGGCTTGCATTAAAAGGGAAAATAGACATTCAAATAGTGCTGATCAAAGGCTAACTCTGCTAACGGTCATAATAATGCACTCAGCAATAAAAAGGAGATCAAATGTTCCAGAAAAAACTGGGAAAATTTCTGAAAAAGGCAGATTTTGGAGGGAACTGGAGGTAAACATTGGTGATGGTGAGCACACCAAGTCCAGAGAACAGCATGAATAAAAAGCAAGACAAGAACTACAGGATGTGCTGAAGCAGCAGCAGGCTGGTTAATATGTCCAGAGCCAGGATGAACTGAGCCACATAATGGGAAATAAGCCAAGCTGGAGAGGCCTTGAGTGCTGGGCTGAAGGGTTGTAATCCACCCTCTAAGAAACAGGCAACCATTACAGGAAGCACCTCCTTCTTCAACTTCCACTGAGTCACGAGTTAGAGGAACACATTAACTCTTCCAGGCTGATGAGGCCAATCATAAGTACCAAAGATAGGGAAGGCACCACTCTCCCAAACAAAGTGGAACTGTGGCCACTAATCAACTCTGAAGAATAGTCAGTTCTTTTGTCGTCCTTTATGTCAAACAATCATGTAGGTTTACACTGGTCCACCTAAATTTCTGGCTCAGTCTCCTTCACAAACTTCCTGAGCATTATGCCAAACTTATTTAAATAGTAAAAGTCCTAGCCCCCTCCACCAAGGACACACCTGAGAGCTCTGCCTGCAGTTTGGCAAGTTGGCCCCTGAGGAGGTCTGTCTCCTTCAAGCTTTCCGTCAGCCGCATGTGCAGCTCCGTTTCCTTCTTTTGCTGAGCAGTCATTTTCAGCTGCAGATGAGAGACCTGGGCAGTGGCTGCTGCTAACTCTTCTGTCACCTTGGCCTGAATAAGTAACAAAGTACGACATCACTTTAAACAGCGGTGTCCCTTGTCTCTAAGCGATGACCCAACCTCACATACTCTATGCTGACTGAACAGGTAGGAAGGGAGCTAAGGCCACCTTCAACTTGCATTAAACCAAAATCAAGCCTTCAAAATGTGCCAAGTCTCTGACTCGAGAATTCCTTTGCAGAAATTTATCCTTAGGAAACGTCACGCAAGATTACAAAAATTTTGCTACAAAGATGTTCAATGCAGCATTGTCTACAGTTGAAAAAGAATGAAAAAATGCTGAAAAATGGGCTTGATTAAGCAAACTATGATATACACATCCTGTATGCAAATATTAAGAATGGTGCTGTGAAGGAATAATTAGTGGATGGGATATAGTCACAACCTACTGTTAAATGTTACCAATCTGATACATCAGAAATGGTATTATTCGCATTTTCTAACTTTTCTATGAACATGTATTATTTTAATAAGAAAAGGATATTTTAAAATTTAAATTGAACGCCTTCAATGCCAATCAACTTCTGAGTCTGCAATTTCTCCGTAGCAGTACTATACTGTGAAGATCAGTCACATGAGAGTAATTGCTTTGCAGGTTCTTAGAAGAACAGCGCTAATGAAAGAAGGGAACACTGCAACGTTTTTAACTGCTCAATGTATTTTAAATGGTGCTCTGTACTAGCCAAACAGGAGCTAAATATTCTCAAGTAACATCTGATGAAACCAAAATGACTACCCTGGAAAACCCTCTAATGATATTCTGAGTGTTAAGGGTGATGATGAAAATGATGATGAAAAGAATGGTCAACAAAAAGGGATGGTAAACAAATGACAAATACCACATTCACTGCACCTGAACTGATGTGCTCCTATAAAAATCAGGAGAAATCAGATGACAGGAAAGGCAGTGAGTGGTTGCTCCACTGGTGACTAGTCCTAATTTTTGGACAGCAACATATTTACGGGGTTGGGCTGTCTCTCCTATACTATTATACTGCTACCACCATTACTCCTCCTATACTATTATACTTTACACACATTTTTACAGTTGCCTGCTTTCTTATTATCATTTGTTCCTTCTTATGGTATTTACTGTGCCCACCGCAGTTTTAAACTTATTTATTCCAAAGCCTTTATCAGCTTTCTAGCTTTCACTTAAAATCTGGTATTTTGGTCTCCAAAAAGTGGAGAAAATGAAATTCAAACTGTACATAAAATAAAAAGAAATATGCTATGAATGAGTATCTGAGAGTACAGTGACAAAGACTCTCTCCTTGACCAGACTTTAGTCAGGCTCCTCTGAGCCCCTGACCTTGGCCTCCCATCCCGTCTTTGGCCTGACCAGCTCAGTTTTAGCAAGAATCCTGCTAAGTCAGTTCAGAGAGAATCTCTCCCCGAGATATCTGATCCAGTTCTTCATCTCCAACCTTTGATGTTTAAGTTCTCGGCCTGTCTTTAGCAAGAATCCTATTAGGTCAATTTAGAAGAA